TTCCTCATAACTGAAGCAAGCTTTAAGTCTTTATACAGACAGGTTGAAATTATTAATTTTTATGATGTTTCAAAGTTCAAATGTTGATGTCCCGTCCATCATTTTTTTGGGGGTTTATATTAAATATGAATTCTGACTACAAATCTCATAAATATTTCTCTAAAATATATGAGAGATTATATAAATTAGTTATAAACTATTTTATTTCATATTGGTTTTTTCCAAGTAATTTAGTTTCTGCTTATTCGGGTAATTATATGTTAAATTAAAATAAAATTAAGAAAATGAAATTATATAATATTATATATGTAAACGTTTAAAGTAAAACGTATATTATATTTTAACGTCAGACCAAACCTTCAGTGAATATGATTTCTCGGATTAATGTGATTTCATTTAGGTATTAGGTTTTTTTTTTATACATTTAGCGGTTGTGCTATAATTTTGGACCATTTGATCTTATATGACTAACACACATATTTAGTATTCAGCGAAACGTGTAACAATTAGGTATTTTTCTCCACGAAGAGAAAATATAGTATATTATATTGGAAATTGTCCAAAAATAAATACATAAACCAAAAATGTATGATACTGGCAGATTGTAGGGTTTTGAGAACCCATGGGATTATTAGATAGAAATGCTCATAGTTTTGGCCCAAATGTTGTGCAAATGTTACAGGCTTAATAATAAGTCACTGGGGTTGCGATTCATAATATATATTCAAAAAGGTTTCTGTATATCTGTCGCTTTGGAAGTCTATCGAAAGCAACATAAAATGTATACCTATATATTACACGCGTAGTATATTGTAGGTTATGTCGTAGCCTGCAGTAGGTTCTTTTGAATTGAGTTTCAATTGTTTTCCACCTCTGCGGGTCTTAAAGTTATAATAATACCAAAATCAAATGCATTTGGTGATTAAAAACGTTATCACGGAGTCGAAGCCTCCTAGGGTAAGCCTCCCAGAGCGTTTCGGACTTAACGAATGCTATATACGCACCGTGTACATTGTCGTTTGTATTTACCGTTTACTCGTAATATGGGAAGTGGAATACTTATGTCTTTGGTATTTTACAATCCCTGTGCAGAGTACGCAGAAACTTTAAATGAGGTATAATTTGATCCTCAATAGTTTCTGAAGTAGATATATTATGCAAATATAATTTACATTTAGTGTTCCTACCTTTGTGGGTGGCAACTTTTTTAGGGATTTAGAAGTATATATTAGGTACTGTCCACAACCTACAGCCATCGTCCATCGTCATTCGCAAATCAAAACTTATAAATATTTTGTTTAACATATCGCAATTTTAAGTAAAAATCAGTACCTATTATTTTATTGCGTAATTTTATTTTTGGTATAATGCCAGGTAAAATATTATTGATATTGTCTCATATTATAAAATTATTACCTATATTAAATAAATTAAAATCTGTGGTATGGACTTCCGGTTAACACAGCAGCAGGCTCCCATTGCTGCTGTACCGCTTGGAAGCAGTAAATTGAAATTATCTTTTAAATTGTATTAATCTAATTTATAATTAATAGTTAGTAGTTAGTAGTTAGTAGTTAGTAGTTACTACTTTTTATTTCATACTATTTTAGATTCTGAGCGGAGCGATGAATGTATTGGTTTTACAATGATGTATGTTTTTATATTTTTATATTTTTATATTTTTATTTATATTTTGGTGTCTGTCATCACGTTTTAGGACAGTAAAAGTGTTTGGATTTTCTTCATCAGTAGCTTTTCTGATAGGAAAGTGAATCTAGTTGGTACTTTGGGGGGTCAAAAGTATAAATTTCCCAGTAGTTTTCACAAGCGCCGGGAAAAACAACATAAAAATTAAGGAAAAACGAGAATTTTTACGCAAAATTGGTTTTCCAAAAAATCGATTTTGGTTATTGGTGTAACTCTAAAACAAATGAACGTATATACATGAAATTTTCACTGGTTGTTTATATTTGCATTTTCTATACACGATAACATTTTCAAAATATTTTGAACTGTTTAGGGACATTTTCATTTTCCATTTTTTTTTAGTTTTTTTTCTAAAAATATCAATAAAATTTTATTTATTGGTTGCGAAAGCTTGAAAATTTAATAGAAGGCTCCTAATATGTTGTTTCAAAGGCAGATGAAAAATATTAAAAATCCTTAGTCACAATTTTTTTTTATAAGCATTTAAAGTTCAAAAATTGACAAAATATGGAAAAATCACGAAAATTAGCAAATTATTTTGAGTTAAGAATTCGTAAAAATTTTTCTTTTTAAATCTAAGATTTGAAAATGAAACACAAGATTCCTTATAAGATTATCTACCTTTATAAATAAAAAAATCTCTACCGGACAGTCAAATTAAATTTTTATGAGCGTTTGAAATTCAAATTTTTACAACATTGGATTTTCACTCGATTTCTCATGTAGCGATTTCCTTATTTTGTTGTAATTCAAAAACGAATAACTGTAGATACATGAAAATTTCACTGAATGTTTATATTAGCATTTCCTACACACCATACAATTTTGAAAATATTTTGACTCTTTTTGAGCTGTTTATGGACATTTACAGCTTTCAATTTTTTTTAGTTTTTTTTTCTATAAATATCAATAAAGTTTTATCTGTTGGGCCAAAAAGTATAAAAATTTAATACAAGGCTCCTGATATATTGTTACAATATCAGTTGAAAAATATTAAAAATACATAGGCACGATTTTTTTTTATAAACATTTAAAGTTGGAATTTTGACAAAATTTATCAAAATCTCGAAAATTATCAATCGTTGGAATTAAAAAATTATAAAATGTTCAGTTTTTATAACTAAGAGTTGAAAATTTAAAACAAAGATTCTCTTAAATAATTCATACTGTAACCAAAAAATCTAAAAAATATATAAACACACTTATTTTTTACAGACATTTTAATTTCAAATTTAGACAAAATTTCATATTTAAACCAAGAATTACGATTTTAGTTATTTTGTTGTGATTGAATAATACTATTCGTGGGTACTTGAAACTTCTAAAGTGTACTATTATATATCTATGATAGTATCACGGTTTTTGTTGATGTATAACGCGTTATAAGTATCTAATGGATATTGTGATATGATTAATTTGGAATTTATTATAGGTACCTATTATAGGTCAATTTTTTGTTTAATACCATAGATATGTATATAATATGCCTTATACATAGACTGACATACCATCACCGCTCAGAATCGTTTTTCTTATACAATGATATTATATCATTGAATTCAAATTTAATACCATCCATTATACAGTGACCCACTTGTAACCTACTGTACAGCAGAGCGACACCCACTTGCCCACCTTTTTTTTTCTTGATTCACATATGTTTTTATTCAATCTGTTCCAAAAAAAGAAGAACAATAAGAACAATTGATGGTTTATACGTTAAAATAAATAAAAATAAAAAGGCAAATTAGACGGAATGTAGAGGCCTCTCAGCAGAGGTCCTACGACATTTCATTTTTTAATTTTCACTTTTTATGTTGTCGTTAGTAAATCAAATAGATGTACTTAACTGAGGAAATCATTTGATTGTATACTTAAATCTTATTTTCAGTTTTGTTGTGGATTACGGTTTATATGTGTTGACACTAATTATTGTTGTATTAATTTTTTTTTATTATTTTGAACTTTGATTGATATAATCTGATAATTTTTCAATATTATAAAAGCAATAGCATCTTCAAATGAATGGCAAATTATTAACAGGTAGTTAAGTTGTGCAGCTTTTGAAAAATTATTCATTGAAAAAATTGCACTTGTTATATTACCTATTTATAAAGTTCCTAAATTAGTTATTAGACAAATATTTTATGACGAAGAAACCTGAAGATTTGACTTGCACGTCTCAATACTGAGTGTTTTGTAAGTTCTTGCTAACTTTTGTGTCCAAATAGTTGCAGTGACACATTTCGTTAAGGCGGGATAGGGATGGCCACCATCAAAACTTTACCTAGGGCATCAAAACTCTAAATACGTTTCAAACAACTATAATAATTATATTGGACTCCCGAAGACTCAAAATGTCATAATAATAATATTATTATATTGATATTTCATTACCTTGAACGAAGTAATCTTCTCATTGATTAATTTTTCTACTTAATAAAATAAAGGGTTAAAATTTTTCGATATGTTAACTTTTTTTTATTGCCCTTGACTTGTGAGATGTTAAGAGTCTATACTCTTTATTTACAGAGTGATCCACTTATCATGTCAGGTACTATATATTTTTTATCATAATATTTTCTTTTCTACATTTTAAATATTTGTACACTTTTTTTCTTTTTTTAAATTGTTATACTGTCTGTATTTATATATAAATATATAATTAAAGTGTTTCACTATGCCCTTGTACTCACACTTACTATGGAAATGCTTTTTGCTAGCCTCCTGCTAAACTTTAAAACTTACCTAGGTAGGTAATTCAAAATTCAACTTTTAAACATTTATATCAATTAGCTTTATAAATTGATTATTTTATACCAAACATTCTCAAAACACATATTTTATTTTTAAGTTTTAAGGAAGCTAAAACACGTTATGAACTCTAATAATTGTATCTATATATTAAAATTTTGTTTCTCAGACCATTGTGTAGAATTTGCCCCTTTTGACTGGTATATATAGTTGAAAACACGAAATAAATAAATACTATTACAGTTTTCTTTATTCCTTTTGAGTGGGATATACTGATATAGTCTAATAGAAAATTTTTATCAAATTTTATCCATTCCTATAAAAGTACAAACATTTTTTAAAAAATACCTTATAAATTACAAAAAATGCTTTAAAAATTAAAAAAAAAAAGTAGAAATTTCATTTTTAAGTTATCAGTGGTGGATGAAATTAATTTTGTGCTTGTAATACAATATTTCAGGACATTTGGGAAAAAATGCAATTTACACTTCCAAATCCACGCGTGCCTATTATATTATAAATGCGAGCGCTGAACTTACCTCCACACGGCCAGGGTGACCGTCAGCCATATGGATATGGTGTGGAATGCTTGCGAAAAGTCCGAATGGAGTAAGACGAACAGAGACCAGTTGTAGGAGAAGCGGTCGGCGCGTGGATAGTTGGCTGGCCGGAGGTACATATGGTAGGCGAACGGCACGTACTCGACCATGACCAGTAGGTCGGCCACGGCCAGTCCGGTGAGTATGGCGTTGGTGGGCGAGACCATTTCTTTGCGTGTCAGCACGGCGATGTTTAGCACGTTGGCAACCGAACCGAACGCGCATACCAGTAGGCTGGCATAACCGTGGTAGTGGACGTAAACGTCGTGCAAGTCAACTAGAAGATCACCGCAGTAGGGCGAGACGTGCGCGGCACCGCCACCCGCTCCAGAAGTCCCGTTACCTCGCTCCATCCGTGCGCGCGAGGGTCTCACCTGGAAGAATAAAGTAGAAAACTTAAAATTCTCAAACGAATTATTATCATGCGGAAACCACGTATACGGTAGCATCCCAAACGATTTGATATAAAATATACAAAAGTATTGCGGATTATTGATGAGCTTATGGACAGTTAACAGTCTTATACAATATGGTATCATTTTTAAAAACGTCGGCAAATATTTGACAAACAACATTTAAATGTTGTTATCTGGGCTATAGCTGCTTGTGGTACCTATATGACATGCATATGAAGTTATTCAATAGACATAGCCGTGCGCGCGGGATAGGTAAGGGGTAGGTTGCGTGCTGAGCTCCATCTCATTCTACTGAATTCAATTCTTCTTTTGTTGTCCCGTTTCACTCACTAATTTATTATGGTAGGAACTACCCTATTTACAGTGTGATGCATCTTGGGAATGAGCACCTATAAGCCTCTTTTACATTTCTCCTATTATTATTATTAGTATTCTTCTTTATTGTTATTACTACCATCTGTTACCTACATTAATAATTTATTTATTCTGTTTTTCTTTAATTATTATTGTTAATTCTTTAACTTTGTTATTACGTTATTTAATTGCAATCTGCTGTGTAGTTACTGTGTACCTACACTGTCTTATTGTTCTGTCGGGCATTATGGCCGTTAAATAAATAAATATGTTAATATTGTTATTGCATATATTAATGGAACTAATTTTTAGCACTTATACAATATTCAAATGGCTGCAATAGCTAGGACTCATTGTCCGCATATCTGAATAAATAAACAAAATATAATATTATGCATCGTCGCGGTGCTGATGGTGCAGCGGGCTATCCGCGGGTGTGTTTAATCTGCGGGTAACTTTCCTCCCGCGCATTATAACATATATTATTATTATTATTATTATTATTATTATTATTATTATTATTATACACCCTCTCCGGGGGGACCCGTTACCGGCAAAAGTCGAAAAAAGCTTCGATACACCTATGTATAATAATGTCATGTAGGGCGTTTTTATTCGCTCGGCCGGGATTAGCAATCGGAAACCGTTGCGCCCGTCCGACGACGAGCAGTCACGTTCCGTATAGTCGGTCGGATAAAACACCCTTTTCGTCGCCCCGATCGTGTGTCGCGAGGAGTGTGGATGATGACGTGGTACAGTTTTTAGTTGGCGCCGAAACCGTCGAATTCTTTTTCGACTTAACCCCATACTTATATATTATATATTTATAATACGTGATGTTGTTGTATGGTGCGCACGACGGCAGACTATGATAATATATGTTATACGTATATATATATATAGTATGACGCGCGTGCGCGTCCCCTTGTGTATATAGAACCTTCGAACGGAACAACCGCAAAAACTCTTACCGTAGAATATTATATTTTATGACGCGTGTGGGTTGTTAATTATCGTATACACGGTGAAAAAGATTACGACTCCAAGTAGAAAATTCGCCACAATGGTGTCGTTTAGACACTGTCTAGGTATGCGAACACGGTGTCCATATTATTATTGGTATTACTATTACACTAAATTACTTATCTAAAACCCGGCGTAGACGTATATTAGACTTCATCTCGGCAAGTGGTGTGGGCAGGTAGGGTTTTAATAAAATCACGTATATTTATATTTATTTTATAATCGATTAAAACAATACAATATGTCAATATATCTAGTGAGTATTGAGTATAATATGATTATGAAAAAAATATATTAAGTATCTATGATGTGCAAAACAAGATGCATAGGTATTGTATATATCATATCCCGTGTTTAAAATTTGTACAAACGACAATATAATGTGCTAAATCAAAATTATATTTTTAGTATTATTTGTTCCTTATAATATAATAGTATTTATATCTATCACATCAATTCTATCTTAGTAGTTGATCATTTGTCGAAATAACCACAATAAAAAATGTATTTGAAACCATGAAAAATTCGAAATACAAACTTCTGACTCAGTATCAGGTTTAAGAAACATAATATAGGCACTTACGTTTTATTTTTGAGGGTTAAAGAGAGTGTTTTTACAAAAAAATCGTCACGAACGCTCACTTAACTCCTTCTATAAATTACGTGCTTGGACGAATAAAAGCTGAAATTAAACTATTTGCACAGACAACAATCAAAATTCACATTGTGATATAGAATTTGAGAAATATAAAAATCAGAAGAGCTCATCGCCCAATATCGCTTCAAAGTTCTAAGCCACGGTTGGAATAGAGCTTCACAATAATGTTAACATTAATACAAAATAGGTACACACTACACACACCTACATAATTTAAAGCCGTGGTTTGCCCGTAGAGTTTAAAAATTAAAAGTTGTGCAAATATCATCATAGACAAAATCATAAAATTATGAACGTATAAATAGTAAGATAAAAACGAAAGCTCTGGGGAGGCGATTTCTGCTATCACCCTCCACTCCCAAAGACGCCATCGAAAGCAGGAGTTGTCGTCGTCGTCTCTAGAGCTGTAATCCAGCTTACTTATATATGACCAATCGTTACAGTTTTTAGATGGCACCGAATAGGTATATAGACATATTATATGGTATATTGCACAAATCGCAAGCGTAAATAAAGCACTGCCTGTACGGTTCGAGGTGAGTATTATAAGCGCCAGGCGATTTAAAGTTGAAGCTTATAATAGTATACAATGCGTTATTGCGTATAATAGTATATTCACTGAACTGTATACTATATTACTATCTGTATAGAGTTCAGTGAGTATATTATGCGTTATTGTGGTTTGGTGTTTGGGAGGAACAGGAGATATTTTTTTCGCTTGAAAATGTAAAAAAGAGCACAATATAAATAAAAATAAATACATCTGCAGCAAACATATAGCAGCAATTTCTATAAATTATGATGTAGATAACGGTGAGTCGAGACACGTCGTCCGAACGCGTAAGTTGGGATATCTTCAATATTCGATAGGTATACCTATAGGCTATAACTGTAAACAAATATGGAACCGCTGTACCATATCTGTCACACGAACAATGACGGCGTCTCTATTTGGACGAATGAAAAATGCCGATTAAACGGCAGCATAAATTCAGTGTTGTGAATTATCTATATCATATTTTTGTGTGACGAGATTTTCAATTTTATTTTTGTATACATTTTTTTTGTGGGTCAGATGTTAATTTTTCTAAGGTATATAAGAATATTTATTTTATTTTATGCTTTAGTTATTTTATGTATGTTTCTACCGTAGATATTTTGTAGTAGGTATATTGTTCATTCTCTGAAAACGCCAATGGGCATAATCGTAAAAAAAACACATGAGTTTATGAGGATAAAAATTTAAACTTATAGGTATAATGTATATTTATAGCAAAAATGCTATTTTACAAATGCAAGTCTTAAATTATGTGAGTACCTGTTTTATATCTATATAAAATTTGTTATCTTTTATCTATTATTTAGATAACAATTTTGAGTATTATCTTTGTACAACATTGAGTATACACAATATGAAAATATCTGCATTCTTTCGGGCTTCCGTCATAATTATTATTTTAACAAGTGTACAGATGAGGATAATAATATGGTTCTTACGAAATATAACAATGGTGTTTCGACAAAGAAATATTGACAAAATACAATCTTGATGGATCCACATTTTTCTTTCAATTCTTACTGAAACTTTATTCATCTGTTTTTCCTGAATCATAAAATGTAATCTTAAGACAGCGAGTTTTAGAATACAAAACTCATCGTTGGCTAAATATTGTTTTTTTATCTTCTTACGTAAAAAGCAAAACGCAGTAAGAAATAGTCTCATCACAAACCTTACGGGTGTATTATACAACTAACAATATTCTTTTTTTCCAGTGATTGGACGTTGAATAAAATATATTTTTAGTAATGTTTAATAATATATTTTATTTAATTTACATTTTACACTGTCAGTTATTACTTATTAGCGTTAGACCGCATTAGAAAATTCAGATTAAAGAATAGAGTACATTTTTTTTTTAGTCGAATATTATTAACAGTACATCACCTGTTTAATAATTATTGTTCAAAAGTATCCTGTATGGCAGATAAATAATATTATAAAAATTGCAGAAAGGTACAAAATTACCTGTAGAATTTCATCTCAGAAATTGTAAGGTATAGAAATTCGTATTTTATGAAATCTAAAAATAATATTAATTCAAAATCTCATTTCAAGTTCTGACTTGGTCACATGCTTTTTCTCTTCTTTATATAAAATGGATAATAAAAGCTCCGTCTGGAATTTTAGATTTCAATTTTAATTAACAGGACTTTTTTTAAAAAGATTTAATAATGAATTATAAAAAAAAGAATACACAATGGAAGCTATAAAAAGATTCCATCTATTCACACCATTATCAGACTTGGTAATTAAGTCTCATACTTAAGAATTGAGATTTAAATTATTCATTACATTTTACATATATTATATTATGCATTTTGTTCAGTTTAGTATTTTAATTTTTTATTGATGAACCAAAATTGTAGGTATTATCATTCTGGGATCTGATTTTTTCCAAATTGAATAAATAAATAAATAAATATAATACGAAAAATGTATTCTTTATAGTTACATTATGCATCATATTAATATTATGATTATAATTAAATTATGAATTTTATGAATTGTATTAAAATTTCAATGTGAGTTTAATTATTTGGTAATTTAAATTTATGTAATTTACGATATTACTATATGATTGTTATATAAAATTAGTTGTATGTATAGTATGGAAAACCAACGTTCAAGACATATACGACCTTTTTACAAAAACACGGAAATGTACCTAAAGGAAATAGAACACTGCTTTAGATGATACTTAAATAGAATAATAATTATTAAACCCACTGCATAATAAGGCGATGAATCAAATAACTAGAATAATAGCAGTCATGTAAAAACATTTTGTCATTAAACTCAAAGATAACAGAAATTACGTTACCTAGTCAATAAATAATATTA